TCTTTTTGTTTTGGGGAAAATCAAACAAACAAATTGTAAAATCAATCAGTTAAAGGTCAGAGGTTATTTACAGTTCACTTTTAGGATTTAAAACTCCTAAGGCTTTTACTTTGCAAGATCAAAACATAAATATAATGAGTGCTAATATTTATTTCAATTATAGAAATTGTCGATAGTTGTTTTAATAATTTAATTACATTATTTTTTTATTTATTTGTATTGCAAAGATTGTGTATCTAACAATTTAAAGAAATATTTCCCAATTCCAATCACTCTCAATCATTCTCAGCCTTTCGCCCTTTTTAATCTCTTAACACATCGTCTAAAGCTTGGAATTTTATGACTCGTCTGCTGTCTGACTGCAATTTGTCGTCTGACATTTTAAATGCTGGGACATCTGTGCGTATGAGCAATAATTTCGCAGAGAATATCACGCATTCGCCGCGTTTAACCTTTGGAAGAAATTGTGCGCTCAAAAAACGTTTTTAAAGTCCTATTACAGGCGACAAGAACCACCGGAGCCACAACAATTTATATGGCAGAGAGTTTCTCCATATCGGAGGGGGGAAACCGCAGTGAAAAACGGAAAAGTTTTTCAAGGCTCGATAAGAGTTTTTTAATTTGTCTAAAAAGGCGCGGCAAAGGTACAGGAGTGCTGAGTGCTCCCGCTTTCTCTATATATACAGGTACATATATATGCGTTTGGGGGCGGCAGTCGTCGAGTGGGCGTGGCCGCGTTGAGAGGCGAACTTTTTAGGCGGCGTAATTTATGCACAATGAAAGCGTTTGGGATTAAGGACACACAAAAACACCGTCAAACGGGGCGTGGCAAAGGCGTCGTCTGTGGCGCGGCGTAAAAAAGCAAGTGCCCCTCCACCTCCCCTGTTTTATTTTTTTCTTTGCCAGGCAGACAGGTGTAGCAGGCAAGCCGGAAAATTAGCGGAAAGCGTCAAAAGCGTTCCCCAAACGGCAATGTCGCGGCATGTCTAACCTTAGCTCCCCCAGTCGCCCTGTCCCCTTTCCCATAAACCACCCACCGCTCACCAGTTTTTACCTAAAACCAAACTTTTTTGCATAACCACAAATAAACACTCGGAAAAACATCAATATTAAGTTTGGATATTTTGTAAATTTTCCTTAACTAAAAATATTATTTGCCTTAAATTCTTGAACCATACGGAAACTTCAAAAAAACTTCATCAAATTTTGAAGAAATTAGCACATAATTAAATTTGCACTGAAAGTTTAAAATAATTAAAAAAGATCAATAAATTAAATATCCCTAAATATACTAAAAAATAAGTTGAAACTTTCCAGAATGCAAACATATTGGATAAATAAATTTGAAAAAGCTACTTATAAAGGTGTCTAAAAGTATGCAATAAAAAACCCAAGATCCAATATCTATCGGACTATCTGATTCAAAATATACTTTTAGGCTTCTTTAAAAGAGATTTAAAATATTCCTAAATTAAAAACCTGAATTCTCATTCAAATTTTTAACTCCATTTAAATCCTAAAAATGAAAGAAACAAGTAAATTTTTTGATTTATGTATAAACCAAAAGCTCGAATTGTTCTTCATTTTTTATAAATTGTTCTTAGTGCAACTAACACCAACAACTAACTAACTGGTGCAAATGAGAGCGCAGTTTATGGCTTATTGTTGTTGGTGCTGGCGTTTGCGTTTCTGTTTCTGCTGCCATTTTCATGTTGACAAATTCGCCGGCGGACAAGTTGGGTTTTTGTCTCCGCGTGTGGCTGCCTTCCGCCGTATAGTTTGTCTATGCGTTTGGCTTCTGGCTTCTGGGGGGCTCTGGGTTCTGGGTTCTGGCCTGGTCCATGGCGTAATTACCTGGACTCTTGGCCATAATAGGAGCACGTTGTTTGGCAGCTGCCTGGCGGCCACATCGGCTCACAGAAACAACAACAACAAGAGGAACAACAGGGGAAACGAGCGTTTTGGGCATGATAACTTTGTCCTTAAAGTTGTGAATGGTGAAATGGTGAAACGAGCGTTCAGGGAGGATAACTTTTTTGCCCCGAATTTGCGTTTGAATTGGTTCGGAGGTTAGTTAGACGAACTAGCCAGGGCTCAAAACACTTTGATTAACTGGAAAGTTTTGGGCGTTGGCCGAAAAATATTTTGCACAGTTCATATTGTTGGCCAAAGTGTTTTCAAATGGCCTTTTAAATTGATTTAGCTTTGTGATAAAAGGGTTTCATTGGATTAGAAAAAACTTAGGTGGCTTTTTGATACGTAAACTAATTAGAACTTTATAAAAAGTTAAATTTTGGAAGCAGAAAGGTTTTTTTTTAGAATTTTGAAATCTGATTTTATTTAAATTTAAATGATTTATTAATGCAATTACATGTTAATGAGTAAAATATTTTTTAATTGCTGGTTAAAGAAATTAAATACAATTTTATAAATCAATTGAAAATAATTTTGAAATATTTTTAAATCAAAATAAACTTGTTTGTAATTTTTAAAAAAATAAATATTTAAAAAGAGAATTTTGAATTCGTTATATATTTCAGCTCTGCATTTTTTTTGTTGATGATTTTCCTGTAAACGTTTAATTTCAAGCCACAATTCAAAGTTGTTGTTTAGCGTTTTTTCTTTATTTACGTTATGGTTTTTTGTCATGCATATCAAACGCTTCATGGCCAGTGGATGCGATGCCCCCTAAAAAATCCCCTCCTTATCCCTGTGGCTTAAGTAGCCATTGTTTTTAGTGTTGTTATTGCGTTGAGTTTTTTCTGTTTGTTTGTTATTTTTTGGTTTATTTTCTGGTTTGGCCTGCGGCTTTGGGGCGGCTTAAAATTGGATTTGCGTTTCGCTTTGACATCGCTTTTTGTTGCTTAGTCTCCTTCTTTTTAGAGATTTTCCTTCCACCTCCACACACTTGTAAAAATGTCACTTTAATAACTTTGTGTTTGCTATCTTGTTTTTGCCTGTATTGTATGTATTTTTTCTTTTTGGTTTTTTGGCTTTTATTTTTGGTCTTGTTTTGTAGCATGTTTTAATTGCCCTTGCAGCAGCTGGCAACAATTCTCCTTTTGGTTGCTGCTCTTCTTCGCCTCTTTTATTGTTGTATTTTTAGACGTGCCACAAATCCCCAACAGGCTAAAACATGACAAAAAAAATACAACAAAAAATTGGCCAGAAACAGAAACATTTCGTTTTTATGACTGCCAAACATGAAAGACACCAGCACAGAACACAATGCGAACAATGTGTGAGATTTCGCACGTCGTTATAAATAGCAATAAAATGCTAAGAAAAAAAAGAAAAATTAGTCTTGGAGAGGAAAACAATTTTCAAATTGGGGAAAACTCAAATTGTAAATTATAATTTGATTTCATAAATGCGGGCTCTCCATTGTGTGGCGGCCGGAACACGCAAATAATATTCCAGGGGTCAAAGTTGAGGCTTTCTAGCCCCTCTCTTTCTCATTCCTCCAACTCTCTTTTTAGAAGGCATTAAATTAGCAGTCTGTTTGCCAGTGCTGCCTCCCCCTCGTTCCGACCAACTTTTCTTGGTAAGCTGCTTAGGAACTGCAACAGAAATGTAACAAAGTTTCGCCAAAGTCCACCGCAAAGTTATGGCCACACAAAAGTTAATTCTGAATGGCTGCGCCTGTCGCTATGCAGCACATTTTCCACAGATAGAGGGTAGCAGAAGGACTATTTGCCAAGCGATTTTAATAGTAAATCATTCTTTAGGGATTTTACAATTTAAAAGATTTTACTTCATCCCAAAAACCTATCTCAATCTAATCTTTCGATAAAATCGTATTTTTGAAACGTAAAGAATTCGCGTTTTGAAGATTATATAACATTTTCCAATTTTATATGCTGTTTTATTCATTTTAGAATTTAGTTTATTATTATTTTAGTTTATCCAATCAATCTTCAAATTTAATGATAGAATGGTAGTTTCGAAACCTAAAGAATGCGCGGTTACTCTATTTATTATGCTTTTTAGCTTTTATATTTTAAGTAAATTAATATTTCCCACAAATTTAACAAAAACATCCAAAATTTCAAATCCACGAGGTATCACGGCTGCTCTCAATCATTTACAAAATCTTTTTCAATTACACGCAGAATGTAACAAACAACACCAGGGCTATAAAATTTTCTCGTAATTATTTGCACAAAATGCTTAATTGTTTGCGTTTTACAGCGAATTTCGTTGAGCGCCCCTGGCAAATATTGACGCTCATCAATGGGTGTGTTTGTGTGGAATGGAAGTGAGTTTTCCCGCTGGTGGAAAAATTATCGCACAGCGTGTGAAAAAAGTGGAAGCTTTTCCTCAGTCTCCCTTTCTCTCTTCCTTTTTGTGGTTTTTGTTGTTGTTTGGCATTTCAATTAAATAAATAGGCTTATTTTTTTTATGAAGCCCAGCGCCAAAGAAATTTAAATAACGAACGTGGAAAAAAAATGGCGCTTGAAAATGGTATATGTGTGTACATGGTACACTGTGAATAAGTGAGTGTGTGGAATGTCTGCCGAAGCATTGAACCAGTTTCAAAAGACACACACACACTCAGAGAGAAGGAGGGAAAAGGGGGGGAAAAGCTGCAGCTTTTAGTCAAGTCTCTGGTTGTACATAAAAAAGTCAACAGACAAACAAACAAACAACATGTAAATTATGAAAAATGTACTAACAAAGCAGCATAAGCACACACACACCAACACTCAGACTGAATATGTGTTTTTTGGACAATAGTGATCACATAAATAGAATACATAAAAGAACGGCTTTATAAATAGACTTTAAAAGGTATTCAAAGCTATTAACATTAGGGTTATTTCTTAGGAATTAAAATGCTAAAGAATTCGCGTTGTTTTTACTTAAAAATTAAAATTTTAAAGAATTCGGGTTGAGGTATGTTCCAATGAACAGAGATTTTAAGTAAAACATTTAATTATTTTTCATCCATTAAAATATCCTGACCTTATACATTTATTGAATAAAATAAATCGAAACATTGATTTCAAAGTTCACATCATGGAAAGAAGCCATTCATTATCTGCTACGGATTCAATCAATCATTCTCTCGGTGGCTCATAGTCATTTCTACGGTTAACCAGATTTTAAAAGTCGTTGGGATCACCATATTGACTTAACATTTCGTGAAGACGAATGCGCTCGCGTTTTTCATCATCCGAGAGGGGAGAACTTTCGAAATTTGATAGGGTCGAATCCTGTCTTCGATGAGTTTGGATGTTCGGTAGAGGATACAGATGTGGCATCATCGAGGCGATCAGATCGACGTCCGGCATTAACAAATCTCCATTGCTGCTGCTCGAATCGCGAATATCACTCGACTCGGGGTAAACATTCGTGGGCAGCATACTGGAAAATAAATTGGCCATTTTAGATGCGAATTGGAATTGCTAATCTTTTTTTTGTTAAATTTTTGAGTGGCTGTTTTTTGTTATTTTTTGTAAAATTTGGATAGTAAATTTTGGAGACGAGTGAAGCAGACAGCTGGAATGTGTCTGAAGTCGTCTAAAAACTAGATGTGGTGATTTTAGATAAAAGGAATGCTGAGATAAAAATGATTGTAAAAAAAAAAGGAAATATAAAATTCTGAAGAATTCGCGTTATTTTGTGCTTGCATTTATTTATTATTAAAAGTGAGTAAGGTGAACCATCCGAATTGTTTAATAAGAAAATCTATAGTCCCAAGAAATCAGTTAGAAAAAATTGTTTCTTTCAAAACATTGTAAAATATTTTATGTAAAGTAAATAACAAAATATATTATTCCTGGCATTAAATTGAACTTTTCTGTGTGTCGTCGACTGTTTCGGAATATGTACATTCAGAATTACTGCGTCTCGTTAGCCACCGACTGAGCCTGGTCTACCTGCTAGTCTTTTATTTTTTCCCTTTTTGTATAGACTCTGTCCAACGATGTAGGCCGGTAGCAGCAATAACCCATCTCACCCGCTTTCCGCCCCGAACTCCGCCCCATCCTTCCTGTTCCGAAACCCAATCCCCCATCTCAATCCTGAAAAATGCGCACCTGTTTTGTTTATTTTGACTGCGCTGTTGTTGCAGTATCCGCTTCAATCGCGTTGCTGTTGCTCCTGCGGTCCGGAATTTGCTCTTGTTTGGTGTTTTTGTTTCTGTTTCTGTTTTTGTTGTTGTTGCTTTAGCCCAGCTGTGCCGCCATGTTGTGCATTTAAAGTGCAGCTCATCCTCATCACCATCCCCATCCCCATCCCCACCGAATGTTCCACGAAATCCAAGGTAGCACTTTTAAGCACGTTTCAGGATCATTTGCTCACAGTGCTCGCATTAAGTTTTAAGTTGTAAAACATGGGGCATATAAAAACATGGCGGGTGGATGTGTGCCTTTATCCTACGAGTACTTCGCATCTATCAAAGTAAGCTCGGGAATGACTTTTTAATATTTTAACAGTGCCGTAAAGCGGATTATTTATTTATTTATGGTTCTGTACATAAAAATTTATAGAAAAAATCTTTATACAATAGTTTTTAGTATGGTTATTTACCTATGAAGGTTATTTTACATATAATGGTGTATAAAAGAATGCAATAATAAGTGTTTAAGAGGAAGGTGCAGTGCTCGTTTTGTTTCACTTTTATAAGTAAAGTTTTTAAAGAAATATTAAATATTTGGTTACTTGAAAAATACTTTACTTTAATTTTTAGATAATATTTACAATATTCATTATTTAACTAATTAATTTTCCTGATCCTTTCAAAAAAAGTACATTACAAATAGACGATAAACTGGCAATATAAACCAGCAAAAGAACGCAATTTTCTTCTTCCTGCCCAGACAATCGGTAGTCATCAGTGGTAAGGAACTCATTACAAAGTATGTCCGCTGGCGATTGAATGGATTTCAGTATTCCGCAGTGAGCTGAAAAAGGCAACTTTAACTGCAACTTTGACTGCGGGTTACGCTTAATTAAATGGCCAAGCATCATCGGACCAAAAGGGGCAGCCAAGTAAATACGAGGGAGTGAGACGAGTTAGTTTCCTTTTGTTTGTTTGGAAAATGGGAGATCCCCATTCCCATCCCCCTCTAAACCCCGTCCATGTCCCTGTCGTTCTGCCCCCTTGACAATGCAAGCCGGGGCTAATCAGTTGAGAAATTTTCTGTGAGATGGCTAAAACCAAACAAAAGAGCAAGAACTCGGACCCTTTGGGGGCTGCCTTAATTAGCGCTGCAAACAAAGGAAACTTTTCGAGTCTCGGACTGCGAGTCCGAGAAAATGTTGGGTCAAAAGTGCCAATACAATGTGTAAATATAAATGGGCAGTGGTGCAAAAGCGTTCTTAATTATTACGCATCATTGGAGATGCCCCTCCTGACCCCTCAATTTTGCCAGAGGGTGGGAAATACCGGGGAAATTCCCGGAAAATGCCGGAAAAGATACCCCAAAAGTCAGAGACGTTGTCGGTGATTTCCGCAAAGGTAAATGACAGACGGCTTAAGTTATTAATATATTTCCGCCGACTTCGTAATTCGACATCAATCAAGCCAAACCGACGTTGGCCTTATTTAATGCTTGCCAAATTAATCGCAATTGTATTGAGATTGATTGGGGCCAAATTTGTTCGCTTGCGAAGTGAACGGAAAATCCCATTTTTACCCATTTTTTATGGGCCAATTAAAATGTTTGTTGTGCATGTGCTGACATTGCTTAAAAGAGAAATTAACAGCGAAATTTTTATTTCCTGGGTGAAAAAGAAAGGCAAATAGAGCCTATGAAAAAAGAGGTTAACAAATGGAAATGAAACAAGAAAGGAAGCTACCTTCGGCCAGCCGAAGCTTATATACCCTTGTAGATAAAAGAATACTCACTCGGTGCAGTTCCAGGGATTCCAGATTCAGCGTTTCGATTTATTTCAATTTTGTTTTTAAGTAGTCAAGAATCAAAACGCCTACTTCCTACAAAGTTACAATGAATTTTCTTATATTTGTTTGGGAGCCTTAAGATATAGTGGTCCGATCCGGCTCGCTACGACATATGTACTACCTGCAATAGAAAGAAGACCTTCGGGAAAGTTTCATCGCGATAGCTTTAAAACTGAGAGACTAGTTCGCATAGAAACGGACAGACGGACAGACGGACAGACGGACAGACGGACAGACGGACATGGCTAGATAGACTCGGCTATTGGTGCTGATCAAGAATATATATACTTTATGTGGTCGGAAACGTCTCCTTCACTGCGTTGCAAACATCTGACTGAAATTATAATACCCTCTACAAGGGTATAAAAATTCCATGAGGGGGTTGTTAAAAAATGGTACGAATTTGTACTGGTAGCACCATTGAAATTTTAATATTTCAGCAATTTTATCTGCCATTATTTGAATATGAAATAAAATAGTTATTTAAGATATCAGTTTTGTAAACATTAAATTCCTAAAGTATTTCAGATTTTTATCCATTAGATTACTATTATATTTCAGATTTGTATCCGTTAAATTCATATAATGTTTCTGCTTTTTATCGCTTAAATTCCAATAGTCAAAGGCTTCTACCTAAGTAATCATAAGTGGTTTAGGTTTACTGGCTTAGAACTTCTGGGGAAACCTTTTACGAACCCAAACTAATGATAAAACCCTAAAGCCTAACCACAATAATTCAATTATGAGCGACCACATTTTAGTGCCCCCTTCTCCCGCAGCAACGACAAATTGAATAAGTTGAAGGTCTTCCTGGTTTTCTGGCCTTTTGCCCAGGATTACGAAAGCTTTCAAAAGTTCCAACTCCAAATGTTGGCCAAGCTGAAGTGTTACAGAGCATATCAAGTTATTGTGGTGAGGAAAAGTTTTTAGTGTTTTAGGCCTACATAGAAAACAACTGTCGGCAATTTAACTAAAAGCGGTCATAACCATTTAAAAGGTGTTCGGTCCTAGAATGGCCATCCGGCAGACCATCAACATTTATGCGGCTACTTGTTCGATGGTATAAAGCTCACTTGCTCCACAGCGAACAAATCCAATTGAAATCGTTTTGGTGCTGAATCCATTTAATAACCAACATAAATACTGTTCAAGACGCTTTACGACTTGAGTGCGCCGCAGGAAACTACTGCCACCATCAAGAATGAAACTTGCCCACTGGCGCACAGATAAATATGCTTAAATACAGATGTGGTCAAAATGATAGCAGTAGTTGCATGATGTATAATATTTTTATGATTAAAATTTCATAGCTTGGTTATAAGGTGTCTAAAAGTATGCAATAACATATTAAACCTTTTCTCTGCATACTTTTTGGCACCTTTTTAAATGTTTTTCAAATCTTAATGACTTTGGTTGCCTTCATATTTTAAATTCATTGATTGCTGAAGGAAATAATAATTTATAAGTTTTTAATAATCATTAAATAGAATAGTGTTCGAGGTCTTGATATGTGATTTTCCCATTTAATACTTAGAAAAGAACATTCACTGATTTCTATTGTCTTGACCACATCTGTGAGTCTCTTAGGAAACACGACTTCGTGTGAATATAACTCTATGCAAATGTGTTTGGGGCGTCAATTCCCGCAGCGACACTTTATGATATTTACACGGAGCAATTGCGGAGGAGAGTGAACCAAAGACCAAGCAAGCGAGAATATTTTGAATATTTTTGCTGATTAATCTAAGCTCGCAGTTCGATTTGTCCTTGGCCCCAATAATTCGCAATCAAACCGCTCAACCGATCTGCCGTTTAGTAGATTTCGCCCCCCTGTATGGACCATAAAGCCCAATAAAATACCCATAAATAGTGGCAACAGTTTAGCCTCGGTTTTCTTCTCCATTTTCTTCGTTTGCTTCCCCTTCAACGGCTGCCAAATTGAGTTGAAACGATGGCATATTATTGTGTAATTGCATTTTATTGCCATAAATAAAAGTTTTCACTTGGTTTTCGGGGGCGGCAGACATTTAAAATGTTTGCATCTTCCATCTCGTCTCAATTAGGACACAAACAGTTGCAAGTGCAGTTGAAATATTTAAGCAATTTCCGCAAGATTTCTTAATTAAAAAGTTGCTCCATCTCCGTAAGAGCAGTACTGCCTTCATCTTGCATCCTTCGCGTTTGCCGAGGTGTCAGCAACAATGAAAATATTTTCTACTTACCAGCCAAAGTGTTTCGGAATTTTCTTCTTACACTTTTCCCGCTCGCTCGGCAATTTGCTTTTGCCTTTGCTTCTGCACATTTTTCTTCATTTACTTTGAAGCGAAATCTACGAAATTTCATTTGCAGTTATGTGCTGCTATTTTCCCAGCTCACAAAAAGCTGGAACTTCAACACGGCACACGTTCTGTCCAGTCACTGGCCTAAAATATTTACCGAGCGCTTCACTTTGGACGCATAGTCAAACAATTTGGGTCTGGACTTTCGGGGACTTCCCCGAAAAGCAAAATATGTACACAGCCCGAAGTTATTATTGTTGGCCCTTTTGGAGGAAGTCGGAATCTCGGGGTTTTTCTGCCTTCTTTAATGCCATTTTACTGACT